GCCCAGGGGCTCAATATTTATTTATTTATGTAACTGCAGGGTGATGGGCTTCACAGCCAGCCGGGTGGGGGCGTCTTTGGGGCTCAAGTAGAGGCCTGGTCTCTCAGCCACCTCCTCTGGCCCCTTTGGGACTGAGTGCGCCTGCCAAGGCCAAGGCACTAGGGCAGAGCCAGCGCTCTACCTAGTAAAGATCTGAATGGCCCCACCCTTCCTGGGACAGCTGTCCCCACCTCCTCACTTGAACGCCCAGGTGAAGGGGACAGGAGCGGGGTTGCCGTGGTAAGTAGTGGACCAGGAAGTGGGCCCTGGCGTGGCCTGCCTCTCCTCCAGGCCCATCAAGGTTAGCTCTGCCTTTTTGGTTGTCTGACCCCTGTGTTGGCAGCCCCTTCCCTCCCCTCTGATCCTTCCCTGTCTCTTCTTGTGGTAGCGGGTTAGTGTTTCAGTGTTTTTAACTTCAATCTGCTTGTTCATTGTACAATGTGCTTCTGTTAAAGGCCCCATTTTTGTAACTTGTGCCATTCATCTGAACAACAAACATCAAAAAATAAAAAAGTTAAAAACTGTACAGAGAGAAATGATGCGTGGTGTGGCTTGGCCTCCTGTGTCCTGGGAACCGTAGGTCCCGTCAGTCAAGGTGTAGGTAGCAATGTGAACTGCCTTGGGGAAGAGCAACTGTATCCAAATACTGGATCAGGAGGGGTGGAATGGCCCTGTGGAAAAACACCCACAAATGGTTCGAAGGCCTGCAGAACGTGCTTTCTACATTCACAAAATTTGAGGGATTTAGGGAGGATTCAAATTCCTCAGTTCTGCTAAGTTTTTCAATAGGCACGGGCTTCGGTGGTCTCAGTGGTAGACAGGGCAGTGCCTACCTCATGGCACCCTGAGACTGGGTGGAAGGGTTAAATGATTAGGGCAATTGGGCGTGGTGGAGGGTGCTTTTAATCCCAGCTGACGGTCCTGTGAGTTCGAGGCCAGTCTCTTGTACATGGAGTTCCAAGCCAACCAGGGCTACACAGTGAGACCCAGCCTAAATAATAAATAAATAAATAGATAAATAATGCTTAGGACTGCTAGCTCTCTAGAATACTGTCTTCAATAGAACCATAAAGAAGCCAGGATATCAGCCAGTACTGCCCACCTCCTTCCCTGGGTGTCTCCCCAAAGAACTAAAAAGACCTTTAAAATAAGAGTTGATAGACTAGACGATGGTGACGCACACCTTTAATTCCAGCACTAGGGAGATAGGCAGGCAGACTTCTGAGTTCGAGGCCATCCTGGTCTACATAGAGAAACTTTGTCTTGAAAAACCGAGAGAGAGAGAGAGAGAGAGAGAGAGAGAGAGAGAGAGAGAGAGAGAGAGAGAGATGACAATGAGTTGAGACAGTGTAGTGCTTGTCTTTTGAGCACAGGGATCGGAGCTGGAGCCCTGCAAGCAAAAATGGATTGGAATTCCAGCACTATGAAGGTGGAGAGGGTGGATCCCTGGGAACAGGGTGGCCAGCCAGTTTAGCATAACTGGTGAGCTCTAGGTCAGGGCAATGAGAGATCCTGTCTCACAGGAGGTGGACGTGGACGACGTTTCTAAGGTGAGGCTGCCCTCAAGCCTCACACACATACAGTATGAACACACGAGAATAAAAGGGGAAAAAGTTATTGCTAAATCCAAGTCAGTGTCGGAACACAGACCTCTAATCCTAGCACTCAGGAGGCAAAGATCATTTTTGCATATCTAAGTGACCAACCTGGGTTATTTAAGATCTCGTCTCAAAAATAAATAAGAATACAGGAGGCTGGGGGATTGAGAGTCTGAAGCGATCTGGACTACACAGTTGGCTCAAAGACCTTGGCTCAAAAAGGGGTTGGGGACTGAGGGTATGGCTCAGAGGTAAATCACCAGTACATGCACAGGGTTTCTCTCTCTCTCTCTCTCTCTCTCTCTCTCTCTCTCTCTCTCTCTCTCTCTCGCAAGCACACACAACTTTAATTGATACAATGTATGTACCTACTTTGAGGGACATTAGCTCAAATCATCCTGCCATCTTCAATTTCATCATTTGCAGCTGCAACTTCCCAGGTGTTACCACTGGAAGGCAGAACTGGTCTTAACACTTTCTGTGCCAGAGAGCCTCTGGCCTTCCTTTGTCCGCGTTGCATTCTGTCTGGCACACTGGTGCTGGGATCCAGGTAACCCCGGAGGAGAGACTGAAGATCGGAGAAACGAGCTATGTGCAAGGCCCTGGGTCCCATCTCCATTAAAAAGAAAAGAAGCCCTTTTCTCTCTTAAGTCAGTAATAGCTGGCTGAGGAAGATTTCCGCCAGCCTTTCGGGGACTGCAGTCAGAGCCGTAGACTGTCCCATGGCTCACACACTTGAGCCTCCAATACACATCTACCTGGAATGTAATAACACACAGGCTCTTTGACGTGCCAGGCCTAGTTAGCTGACCTTCTCTTGTCAAGCCCTGTAAGCCACCAGTGGGGCAGTGTTCTGTTCCCTTAGCTATTTTGCTTCTGCAACTTCTAAATAAAGCAAGGCAATGCAGCTGGGTGTGGCTGCAGAAGCTGGCAATTCTGGCACTCAGGGGCTGAGGCAAGAGGGAGGCTGGGCCACACACAAGAACAATCCTTTCTCACAACGGAATCAGGCAAGGCCAGCCTTTAAAGAGGGCCTGAGGTGACTTTCATTCCTTACTTGCTCAGGGAAGGTTCCTGCATTTCACCTTGGGTGTGCTAGCTGGATGCACATCCTAGGGAGGGGCATCTAACATCCACTGAATCTGGGAATGTCTTTCTGTCCCGTAGATAAGTATTTCTTTAGGACTAAGGTTCAGGGGTTGTTCATGGTCTTTAGGTCCACATGCGCTGTGTGTAACGTGTCTGAGGAAAGGTCCTCATGCGCTGTGTGTAACGTGTCTGAGGAAAGGTCCTCATGCGCTGTGTGTAACGTGTCTGAGGAAAGGTCCTCATGCGCTGTGTGTAACGTGTCTGAGGAAAGGTCCTCATGCGCTGTGTGTAACGTGTCTGAGGAAAGGTCCTCATGCGCTGTGTGTAACGTGTCTGAGGAAAGGTCCTCATGCGCTGTGTAACGTGTGTGAGGAAACCCATATGTAAAAAGAGGGTATCTGGTCTTTTGGAGCTGGGTTCACAGGCAGTTCAGAGCCACCCAGCATGGGTCCTCGGGTCGGACCCCTTTCTAGTCAAGATTTCTGTGTAGCCTTAGCTGTCCTCCAACTCAGATATCCGCCAGCCTCTGCCACTGTCTGGAGTGCTGGGACTAAAGTCGTGCACCACCCCATCTGGCTCTTTTCTTTCGTGGTGGGCGGGGGGCTCTGGTGAAGGATGGTCACTCCGGTCAAGAGGTTAATCTCTGATGAATACACATTAATATTGTTGCCAACCACATCCTCGTTTTCCCTCCGTTCCTGTCCGCCCTTCCAGTAGCTTTTCATCTGGCTCGCAAACACAAACCACTTATTTGAGATGGGTGTTTGGAAGGGGAGGTTTGTTCCTGGGTGCCTTTGGTCCTGGGGAGTAGGATCTGGTACTTGGGGTTAGTGGCTTAGTCTCTCCTGGGGAGGCGGCAGGTACTAAGATGGAAAACCAGCCGTGTGTGAATCATCCTCCATAACTAACAGGGCTATCCAAAGGTGCTTCTCCTCTAATGTTTACTTTTGTGTAACTGCGGGTGCATGTGGGCCATGGTGCACAGGGAAAGGTCAAAGGACAACTTTTGGGAGTTGGTTCCACCAGGAGCTCGAGGGAACCAAAGGTCCTAAGGGTTGCACGACAAGTGAATTTACCTGCTGGGTCCTTTGCCGGGTCGTAACAGGTGTCCTCCTTTTTAAATTATAACCAGGACAATGTGGTAAAAATAAAAAGCGTGGGGCCAGGTGCTGGTCCTCACCTCTTCCCTCTTCATCTGAGCAACAGGTCAAGGCATAGAGTGATAGGCATGCTTGTTGGGCGGGTCTAAGGTTGTCCCGTCCCCCGCCACACCCCCTCCCCTTTTAAGTAAAGGGATTCTTTCCACTAGAAGGAACTGGAAGGATCTTGGAGCAGGAGGTTCAGACACGTCTGGGAAAGGCCATGGTACAGACCGAACAGGATGTGGACGCTTAAACCAAATGAAACAAGATTTAAATCCAGGCTCTGAACTGAACATTCAGCAAGTCACTGGAGGCCTCCTGTGTAAGACGTGCTCTCCACAGGGTTAACTGGGAATGTTACTCAAAATAACCCAAGGCCACAGGTTTCTAATCCCAGCCACGCAAGGGCTGAAGCAGGATGGCCAAGCTCAGAGCCTGCCTAGGATATAGATTGAGCCCGAGGCCAACCGGGCAATCAGGACATAGTTTGGTGGTAGAAGCTTGCCCAGCAAGTGGGAAACCCAAGTCGATCTGTAGTTCCTGGGGTGTGTGGGGGGGGAGGGGGCGGGGTACTTCAGATATACTAGACAACCAAGCACTACCCAGCCGTTCCATCAATAAACGTCTACTGGCTAAACCATGGGGAGCCAAGCACTTGCTACTCTCTAGAGCCCGTCACTCAGAACTTCCAACTCCGCTACTGGGTAAAACCCCAGGAGCTCCCCTCTGTCACTGGTGGTCACACCTGACCCAAGCCACCTGCCCTCAGGGATCTAGGGGGAGAAATCCAGATGGCTTTGTAGGATGTGACCCACATCAGGAAGGAAATGGAGGGGAGGGGCAATGCGTCTCTCAATGCCCCCCCCCCCCCACACCCCCCCCCCCGCAATCCCCCTTAACAAACTACCTCAGATTTTCTCAGGCCCTGGGGCCCTCTAGTGGCAAGACATGCTGCCTTGATCTGACATGAGGTGTCTCTCAAAGAACCATGGCATGGCCGGCCCCCAGCTGTTGTCTTCAACCCAGCAGGCTGTATCAAGTCTCACTACCTGCCAAGTTTTTTCTGGGGGACTATGGATGCAGACAGGGATCCCCAAATCCACCCTACACACCCGGGCCTGACAAAGGCACATAAATGTCCAACTCAGTCTTTATTGACGGCTTATTTGGAGACCACCAAACAGCTGGAAGGTGGGGACAGGGGGCGGGTCCTTTATGTGTCAAGGACCCCGGAGAAACCCCCTTGGAAGAGGAAATAAATTTAAGTTACAGAACTTATATGGTGTGGCGGTGAAGAGAGAGGGATACAGTATGTACACAGGTTTTAAGGGGCTGCTGGAGGCCTTCGGCATTAGAGCTTGGAGATGCTAAAGAGAAAACCGGGGGACAGTCAGCCGCTGATCTGGACCCCCTCAGCCTCGGTTAACGGGTAGATCTCAATGGCTTCCACGAGGGGCAGAGCCTCCACCGCGGTTTCCATCACAGCCAGGCCCACAGCGGCCTCCGCCTCTGCCAGCTGCTGCCGCACGGCCGCCTGGTGCTGCTGCTGGTGAGTCTTGCGGTGCTTCCAGAGGTTGGAGAAGGAGCGGTAGCTCTTGCCGCAGTCAGGGCAGGAGTAGGGCCGTTCGCCCGTGTGAATGCGGCGATGCTCTGCCAGGCGCATGGAGATGGCGAAGGCCTTGCCACACACTTCACAGGCAAAGGGCCGCTCACCTGTGTGCAGGCGCCGGTGGTCTTTCAGATGGGTACTCTGGCGGAAGGCCTTGCCACAGTCTGGACATGGGTATGGCCGCTCACCCGTGTGGATCCGTCGGTGCACCTGCAGCGACGTCTCCGTGCTGAACAGCTTCTTGCACTCACTGCATTCCAGGCCCCGCCGCCTTGCAGGGGCTGCCGGGGCAGCAGGGGCTGCACCACCGAGGGCTGTTGGGGAGGGAGTGACTGGTGTGCGAGCGGCCCTTGAGGCCCTGGGAGCCGGGGGCTCCTTGGCCAAGACTTCTCCAGGACCAGCAGCAGCATGGGCAGCTTCATGGGCCTGCAGGCGAGCAGCAGAGCCCACTTTCTTGCCACAGGTCCCACACTCGAAGCGCCGTGGGGCCTGCGCGGCAGCAGCTGCACAGCGGTGCTCGTAAAGCCGCAGTGAGGAGGGGAAGGCAGCCCCACAGGACGGGCAGTGGTGGGGCTGGCGGCCGGCATGGACCACGAGCTGGTGGACCTCCAGCAGTCGGCGCAGCAAGAAGGAGCGGGGGCACTCACGACACTTGTAGGGGTACTCGCCGGTGTGGTGGTAGCGGTGCATGAGCAGGCGGTAAGGGCGGTGAAAACGCAGTCCACACTCCTGGCAGCGGTAGGGGAAATGCTGGGCGTGCACCAGGCGATGCTGCCTCAGGGTGGAGCTCTGAGTGAAAGCCTTGCCACAGTCCCCACAGCGGTAAGGCCGCTCCCCTGTGTGTGTGAGCCGGTGGCGGGCCAGGTTGGCAGGTGAGTTGAAGGGCTTGGAGCAGTCAGGGCAAGGGAAGGGCCGTTCCCCGGTGTGCGTGCGCAGATGGTTCCGCACATGAGACTTCTTCTTGAACATCTTGCCACAAATGCTGCATTTATGGCGCCGTTCCAGCCGGTGCACAAAACGCTGGTGCCGGGTCAGCTGCAATGCCTTGACAAACTCACGGCTACACAGGAGGCAGCGGTAGGTGCCTGGGGCGGCAGGCTCTGCTGGGTTCTCCTCGGACGTGGGGGGCTCGGGGGCCTCTGGCTCTCTGCTCTCCGCAGGGGCTGGCTCAGGGACGCTAACAGCAGGCTCCTCGGGCAGAACTGGTGCTGGGGGCAAAGGGACACCTCCTGCCCCATGGGTACGCCGGTGATAGAGGAACTTGGTAAGGTTGACAAAGGTCTTCCCACAGGGACACGAATGCAGAGGATTCGGAGTATGGGCTCGCCGGTGAGCCAAGAGAAGGGCTTCTGTGCCAAAGGCCAGGCCACAGTCCACACATAGGAAGTGAGACTCACTGCTGTGGTCACCCAGGTGCTGATCCAGGCTAGAAGGGCTGGGGAAGACGCGACTGCACAGGGGACACTTAAAGACGCCCTCCCGGTGACTCCGAAAGTGCTGCTGCAGCTGGTGGGGTGACAGAAAGACCTGGTCACAGGCTGAGCAGAAGAGTTCCTGGGTGGCCGCCCCACCTGACTCCCCACCGTTGGCCCTCCGGGGCTTCCGCCCCCGCCGATCCCGAGCAATGGCCTCGCCGTTGCCGTTGCGCAGCTCGTAACTGTGGTCAGAGGCCGGGAGGGGCTCGGGTAGGGCCGCTGGCACCTCGGTGGGTGAGGGGATCAGGGTCTCCTGCTTTATGGCAGACTCCTCAGCCTCTGGGACGGCGGGGAAGTGGGTGGCCTGGTGCTCCAGAAAGTCAGCAGGCAGCTGGAAGAGCTGGGAGCACTCGGAGCACTTGTAGAGGAGCAGCTCTACCTCTGTCACTGTCTCAGCGGTGGCGGCCGCCGCCGGGACGGCTGCCCCTTCTCCGCCTTCTTCTGCTTTTCGGTATGAATGCTCCACAGCCACCCGGGCCTGGCCCACAGGGGACCCCAAGACAACTGGGGACCCCAAGACAACTGGGGCAGGGGCCTTGGTGGGCGTGGCCCTGAGATGCATCTGCCGGTGGTTCAGCCACAGCTCTTGGCTGGCGAACAGAGCCTTACAATCCACACACTCATAGTGGATGGCGCTGGAGCTCAAGGGGGACACCTTGGGTGGTGGCTCAGCTGGCACTGCCTCCTGGGGTGCCATCATCTTCAGGTGCAGCTCCTGGTGCTCCAGGAGCTGGCTGGGGGACAGGAGTAGTTGTCCGCACTCAAGACACTGGTACTGGCTCTCCTGTATGAGGGTCTGATAGAGGCCCGTGCCTGAAGCGGCCTCTGTGGCCACCGCCATGCCAGGGTCAGCCACGCCCACCAGCTCAAAGTGCTGCTGGGGCACGTGGGAGTTCTGGTGCACAAGCACCTCCTCCAAGGATCCATAGAGTTGGTTGCACTCAGAGCAGACATAGCGGTGCTCAATGTACAGGACCGTCTCCTCGCTCTCCTCAGTCATGGCAGCAGCAGGCCTGGGCCGAGACAGGGAGGGCGGAGACAGTCAATCCTCCCTCCCGGCCAATTCCTTCCCTTTATCACCTCCACATTCTAAAACCTCAGATGTATTTCCTCCTCCAACTTCTTGAGATTTTCCACCCCAACACCCTCCCTGGTAAGCCCTCCCCTCCCCTGAACACAGAAACAGCCAGCATTAATTTCTCCAGTACCCCAAGTCTCCCGTCCCAGTTAACTTGCACCAGACCCTGTACCCTCTCCCATCCTCTCCATTCCCATGCCTCAAACAGGCTCCCAAGGCCCTGACCACAGTCCCTGTGGTACTGACTTCCCGACTCCTCACCATGGTACCGGACAGTACCCCTTTGCCAGCCCTCCCACAGAGCCCTCACACATTATCCACACCTGCTTTCCAGCTGCACTCCTATATGGGTTCTGCTCTTTCTCGGAGGTTCACAAACTTTTTACACTTAGACCGCTCACACTGGAGCACAAACCATCCCCATCTACTCTATTTTAGGCACCAGTGGCCTGAGCCCTCCCCTTGCTGCTAACCCACAGTGCCCAGATTCCCCATATCAAGTCACCCAGTTTTTTCTCACTGGCTTACTCTTTCCCGTACTTCCCTGCCTTCCCCACTTCCTGACACACAGACACTTAAAACTGGTTCAACCTGAGAACATCAAGACCTTCTCGGCCAGGCCGTGGTGACGAGTGTCTTTAATCCCAGCACTTGGGAAGCAGAGGCAGTCGGATCTCTGAGTTTGAGGCCAGCCTGGTCCATAGAACAAGTTCCAGGACAGCCAGGGCTACACAGAGATACCCTGTCTAGGGGAAAAAATAATAATAATAGTAAAAGACCTCCCGTATCATCAACCTTTACCTAAAAGGCAGGCCACCAAAGCCCAAACATTTACAACTAGACTACCCCCCCCTTCTTACATGCCCCCAGAGTACCCAAACAATCTCTCTCCATCCAGACCTATACTGTGCTAATCCCCTCTGAGCACCCAGATCCCCTTTTCACAGGGGCATAACTCCCTCTGGTATCTAAGGCCATGATAAGTCATCTGGGGATGCCTACCTATATGGCCTCTTTTTTTTTTAAATCAATCAACACCACCCTTTCTTGCATAAAGGCCCAGGCCAATCTTACAACCTTAACCAGTCCCCAAAACCCCCTTAAGAGTATCAATCTAAACCTTCCCTCTTTTTAGAAAGGACCCAAATCCATCCTAACCCACTCCAGGAACTTTCAGATCCCCATTTCATATAAATCGAACATCTCATTTTTGCAAGACGATCCCCCACACAAATGTATAATCTTGTCCAGAGATATTCAGTCTAACCTTCACAATGGCTTAACCTTCCCCCTATTGCTGTTTCTATCCTCTTCAGGATATGTCTCTCTAGATCAGTGCCCAAAGACAGCAAAAAGAACCCCTCTTCATAACGCTCCTCACCAGCATACGACTATGAGGATACCCAGAACTCAACAGTTACGTCTCATCCTCAACCCTCAAATTTCCAGACTACCACCTCTCTGTAACTCTCTCTCCCCAACTACACCCACGATTGCCCAAATCTTCACTTTGGCCCACTTACCTGAACCTAAAACAAAACATTCCCTCCCCCAGCTCAACCTAAGGATGCCCCTAAGAACATACACACCGCTGTCAACATTTTCCAAGGGAATTCCAACCCCCAGTGTCAAGAGTTTCGCGACCTCTCACATTAATATAACCCCATTTCCCACACCTGGATGGCTCCCCACTAGTTCTAACGATACCTCAAACCCCTTCTCTGCCTTAGCTCTTTCCAGGCAGAAATCGATTTTCCTCCCTGCATTCATTCTCGGGCCACCTTCCCACCCTAGCACCCAAGAGCCCTCTGATCGTCCCCTCTGGATCCTGGGCCCGTCCCAGCGCGCCCACCCGCGGCCCCGATACCCCATGCCACCAGAGAGCCCTCGGCCCAAGCAGCTCTGGGACCTCCCCTTCCCGCCAAGGCCGGCCCCCTGCCCGCAGCCCGCGCCCGGCTCCTCCTCACTCAGCCCCGCACACAACTCCAGTCCCTCTACCCCACCCGCCGGCCCAGCCCGGCCCGGCCCGGCCCGGCCCGGCCCGGCCCCCGCCCTGGCCGCGCGCCCCGCGCCCAACGGCCGCTCCGCCCTCCGCACCGGGGCGCGCTCCTCCGGGCCTTCGGCGTGCAGGCCCAATGACGCGAGCGAGCCGCGGGGTGGGGGGCCGGGCGTCCGCGCTCCCGCGGGAACTCACCCGCCTCGGCCGCGTAGCCGGCCCCCGGCCGGGCCGCCGACTGCAGCTCCCTTTGCACAGCCACTCTAGCTCGGCGTCCTCTCTAGCGCCCGTCGTCTCGCCTGCTCCGCAGCCTCGCTCTCGTCCGGGAGGCCCCCTCGACAACGCCCCGCCCACCTCCCTCCCGGCCGCCGCGCGGACTGCGCAACGCGTCCAATCAGCGCCCGCCTGGCCCTGCCGTTAGACCAATCGGTGCTCCAGTCTCTGAGACTGCAGCCAATAGTGCGGAGGGGCGGGATCGGACAGACTCTAGCCAATCCCCGATCAACATTCCCTCACCGGTCGGCCTCCAGGTCGATAGTGCCCGCCCCTTTAGGCCTCCCAAGAGGATCCTCGCCTCCCACCTCTTCTTGGGCTCCGCCTTTGCCGGTCGAAAGGGCATCTCCGAACGGAGAGCTGCGTGATGACGTCGGGGGGCGGGGCGAAGCCGAGGGCGCCATCTTGGGGGCGCCCAGCGAGGCTAGCGTCCGCGCAGGGGCCTTGGGCAAAGTGAGGGACGTTGTGGCTCGCTCGCAGGGCTCCGAAGGCCGGCGGGTTCCAGCTCAGACTCCCCGGGGCCAGTGGCAGAACATGCAGGGGAGAGGGGAGCAGGCAGCAGCGGTCAGGCCGAGTGGGGGGGGCCAAGGCTAAAGACTATATTCAGGGAGGGTGGGATGGAAAGCGGGTGTTAGGAGAGCAGGTGCGTGACAGGAAGTGAGCAGAAGGAAAAGCTCAGTTACGCTCCCTGCGGGAGGCGCTGAGGTGGTGGGGCGGCCACGCGGGTGAAGGGAGGGGACCCGCAGGGCATCGGGTCAGTTTTGGGTTTCGTGCTTCTGAGACAGCCTCGCTGTCCAGCAGGCCCGGCTCTGCCTCTTGTGCTTGGGGGATTAAAGGCGTGGGCCACATTCCTCTCTCAGTCCCAGGAGAGACCCCTGTCACCTGGCACAATCTTTGGAGCCTGTCCTGGAACTCGCTCTGTAGACCAGGCTGGCCTCGAACTCACAGAGATCCGCCTGCCTCTGCCTCCCGAGTGCTGGGGTTAAAGGTGGGCGCCAGCCACGGCAGGCTTCCTCCCGTTTTTCTCTGCTTCCCTGGTGCAGACAGGACTTTTCCTGACTCCTCTGTCCCCTCTCTGTGTCCCTTTACCTCTGTTCTCTTCCCTTCCCCCTCCCTCCCCTTTCTAATAAAACTCAAGCTCGGTGCCTGGGTGTTTGTCCCTCCATCTCCATCTCCCTCCATGGAATCCGCCATGAACCCCGCAGCTTTCCCATAACACCCTAGACTTCCTCTCCTAACATTTCCTTTAATCAAGTCTTCAGCTTTGGCTTCCCCTTCACCTGGCCTGACTGCTGCTGCCTGCTCCCCTCTCCCATGCACACCCAGTGGCGGTTCATTTGCTGCCACTGGCCCCGGGGGTTCTTGGGCTGTAACCCGCCGGCCTTTGGAGCCCTGTGTGCCTCAGTATCCCACACTTTGCCCAAATGCCTACACTGGTGCTTGCCGGCTGGGTGCTCCCAAGATGGCGCCTACTGCTTCATCCTGCGTCCTGAAAACTCTCTTCATTGTTTGCAAGAGCGCGCGCGCGCGCACACACACACACCTAAATATAATTTGATGGAGAGTGACTGAGGAATCTGGTCAGGGTCTATATTTGGACTCCAAATTTGGACAACCCAAATTTTCTGGAAGCTCCTCCTTGAATCCACAATCAGGGGAGCCATCAGAGGTGCCTTTGGTCAAACTCTGTCCCTCATATTTCAGATGAAAAAACCGAGTCTCAGAGTTGGGCCATTTCCCCTTCTGAGCCAAAACACTACTAGGCAGTTGAACACAGGCTCTTCCTTGGGTTGCCATCTTTTGTGTATCCTTCTATGGTGTCTAACTGGATGTCCTAACTTCCCACTGTATTCCCTACCAGCAAACCCACTGGGCTGCTTGGCCTGAATGCTGGCCCTGGGCTTCGTAGCTTTGGGCTAATGTGTCTTGGTTTTTTCCCCTGGGATAAAGAACAGCAGTATAGCCGGACATTAGTGGTGAACGCCTTTAATCCCAGCACTCCAGAGGCAGAGGCAGGCCGAGCTCTGTGAGTTCGAGATAAGCCTGGTCTACAGAGTGAGTTCCAGGATAGGCTCCAAAGCTACACAGAGAAAGCCTGTCTCAAAAATCCAAAAGTGGGAAAAAAAAAAAAAAAAAAAAAAACCCAGAGTCTTTGTCTCAGGGTTGAGAAGCACCAAGTAAACGCTGCCATATAGGCTACTCTTTTTAAGACAGGGTCTCTGCAATCCCAGCTGACCTGGAACTCTTCGCATAGACCAGGCTGGCCTCAAGCGATCCACCTGCTTCTGCCTGCTGGGATTAAAGGTGTGCACTACTATGTCTGGCTGGAGAAGTTATTTTTAGTATTTTATGCTTATTAGGATCTGAAGGTGCCTAATGAGAGCTGACATCTGAGCATGTTAGGTGACACTGGGGGGTTCTGCCCAGTGTTTGTCATGCATTACTTAATAATTTAATTCTCCAATCAACCCTCTTAGGGAAAAGCAACTACCCTGAGGTACTAAGACAGAGGCCCAGACAAATCATGTGTCCAAGTTCCCATAGGGAAGAAGGCCATCATCCCAGCCCAGGGTGGGGAGTTGTTTGTGGTCTTAGGGTAAATGGTTACTTTAAAGAAGAGCAAAGCAAAGGATGGCTGGTGGGGGGGGGGCTGCAGATGTGAAAAATAAAAGATAAAGGTGAATGAAGTGGTTGGTGG